GATATATTTTTGTCAAATTTTTATGATATCTTCAAACATATATTTTATTCAAAAATAAAAACATCATCGCTTTCTCAAAATCACATAAAGTCATATTATAAAATCAAATGAGATAAAGAATAAAATAAAATATTAAAATCACGATATATCTCGCTGCATTACGTGAGTACGCTTCTAGTAATAGTAAACGAATAAACAATTATTATTTATATAAGCAAACAATCAACCATTAAATCATATAATAAAATAATAGACAAGCTCTAGTAATTTAGCTTAAAAAAACATTAAATTTAGGGGTTGATTACCAAACGGTTCTTAATAAACGCTTATCATGTTACATATCTTACCGGATGAATATGATAAGGATCAAAATCTCATCTGGTAAGAGCATTGATAAGAACCGAAAGTCTTACTGGACAAGTGAGAGTGACGATTTTTTATCAAGCTAGCGCTTATCGAGTAAGTTGTTGTTTTGATGAACTGGAGTCTTACCCAGTAAGTTAAGTGATACGGTTTAATTGTACCTGTAAGTGCTTATAGCATCTCCAACAACTATGTTATAATGTACGCTAAAATAGAAAAATAATATTTAATTCTTTCTCACCAATAGAAGACACTGAAGTTAAGTATTTAAGAGGGAAAAATAATATTTTATTGAATATTTTAATACCAATAGTTAATGATCTGATTGCTAAAATAAAGTAGTTGTTGAAGTTGAATATATATTTTTTAAGAGATTTTAAGTTTTAATATTTTATTTTAAAAAACTTATAACATAGTCGTTGAAAATGCTCTTACAAATTACCAAATAAACAATTGGAAAGTCAAAGACTTATATAAATCTGATCTTTGATTAAATTCGGCCCAACATTCCAGTCCAACAAATTAATATTGGAGGCCCAAAATAAATAAATCAGCAGCCCAATAATTAATAAATAGACCCAACATGCTCGTCGGGCCGGATCCACCTCTCCTGGCCACACGTGTCGATCCATGGATGGACCTACGCTGGTGCCGACGGTGGCACATGCCACCGTATTATTTATCCGTCGAATGATAGAAAAGTTTAGGTTTATAAAATGTGCAGCCGTATTAATTTGTTGTATCACACCGTATGTATTTTGAAAGTACAATAAGAACAAGTTTTCTTTTGTAGAGTGGGTTTGCAAGACTTTTATTTCACTCCAGACCCGAGTTTGAATTCTGTTAGTGTAATTTTTTAGTCAAATGGTATCACTATTTGAAACTTTTTTTTCTATATTTGTTTCTTATAGTCAAATGGTGTCATCGTTTGATTTTTTTCCTTATACTTGTTTCTTATAGGCGTCACCGTTGAAAAAAAATTCGGTCCGTCTCTGGATCGATCAATTACCGTATCCAGATCGGGTACCAACTTGGCCCAACGCATCTCCTCCAACACCCCTTTTCGATTTTTCTTCTATTTTTGGTCGAAATTTGACTCAATTTTAAATCATTTTTCATTATTTTTTTTAAATAAGCTCATAGTAGTAGTTAGCACAGCTATTATACAACATTTAACATCGTGGGCAGATATATGAACGACTACGGTCCTGTGCACCCATTCAACAGATTTTCGTAAGTGGATTTCTTTTGGCGTATGAAAGATTCGTATGTTAAACTTTGAGGGGTAATTTGTGATATTTGAAAATACGAGGGATATTAACCAAAAAAATAAAAAAGTTTCTCGAAATCAATGAAAGGCTGAAAAAAATTCCTCGAAACAGTGGAATTCGGCTAAGACATTGTTTGACAAACATAAACTAACTAATTTTTCGAGTACATGCTTGAATGCATATAAGCTAGCTTATAAGCTAATTTATTTTCGAGCAAATGTTTGGATGAACATAAGCTAGCTTATTGAAACACTAGTTGGAGAAGCAATTTAGTTGTTTTTTTTTGTTGCCAATTTTTGCAATTATGACTCTTACTAATATCAATATACTTAGAATAATCACATTAATAATTGCATTCACAGTTATTCAATATCAAATTTGTATTGATAGTTACATTGTAAGTGGTACTGACAGTTACAGCAACAATTACGTTTCTGATTCCATTTGTGGTGAAAGTAGAAATAGAAGTAAAAGCGAGGATGCCGATTAAGAACCAGAACGAGTGATAAAACTATACCAGAAAGTTTTACTGATCTGAATGTAACTCAAAAATACAGGTATTTGTGGGTTCAATGCGAAAATTGTTATGGATTAAATTATAAGAATTTTTTTATCTATTATTATTAATTATTAATTTATATTAATTTAAAACTAATTATTAATTAATAATTAGTTTTAAATTAATTTTAATTATTAAACTTGGAAGAACCAAAAAGTTATGTAGTAGTTGGGGAGTTGTTTGAATGCTAAACAAAATGGAATTGTTTCCATTGGTTTTCAAGAAGGCAAATCCTACACATCACACAAATAACAAATGCATTGAATACTTGTACCATACTTCAACTAATGCATTGTAATGCTTGTACCGAAAAAGATCTGATCGAGGTCTGTATTGAACACAGTTTCCTTAAAACAGATTCAGTCCAATTTAATGGTAAACTTAGGTATATGAAACTTTTTTGGGCGACGTTTAATTCAACATCTGTGAAACATCTGTAATTAACTCACAGATTCAATGGTCCAAAGTTACTACTCTACTAATCCCCAAAGGACCACACAAATGACCTGATGTCATTGTAAGTGAACCTCCATGATTATTGTTATAAGGACTTTGACAATGTCTGGATTTAAACCCAAAAACATCTTTTTGAATTATTTTACTATATTTTTTTTGGTCTGGAACGGGGATAAAACCTATATTTCCAACACAGGATTTGTAGCTAAGTTGAAGGGAAAACTAGGAACGACAACAGACAGGGTTCAGGCCATATCTGCATCCTTGAAACTGATAACTAAAATTGTCCACGTAATCGCCCCAATCCCCGTTGGGGAACCTGTTAAGGGTAAAATCCCCTTTTTTCTGTTGGTTTCCCTGTTCGCCGTTGGTTATACCCGAATCCAAAATCCGAACTAATATGAAATAAATTACAATATGTTAATTTTCACAACTAAAAGTAAATTATAATTTTTTTTATAGATGTAGATCTAAATGTCTCTAACATAATCAAACCAATTACAAACATCATCTTAGATTGCAATATAAAAATAAACAGAAATTCAAACATCATACAACTAATATCACGATTAGACAAATAAACTAAGACTTTTTCATGAGTTATATTTGAAGTGTTGAGATAAAGTAGATAAAAGTCTTTTAAATTTCAATATTAGTATTTTTTTTCTTTTAATGATATTTTATATATATATATATATATATATATATATATATATATACACAGACATACACACACACACACATATATATATATATATGTATATAAATTAAAATTAATATACATACACATATCCAGCCAAGCCGAGCCGGTGATCACCGTTCCCGACCCTGTTAAAATCCCCGATTTCCTCCCCGTCCCCGATAAAATGTCCACTAACCCAATCCAAAAGTTTCGATTTTCGGTTTTCACCATTGATTTCGGGTTTTTCTTGACCATCTCTATGAAAAATGGTGCCTTTGAATTAGGTGCATCAACTTTGACTTTGTGATAGAAATTTGAAATAAAGAAATCTTGAAAAGAGGTTGTTTACAAAGCTTAAGAACAAAACATGTCAAGATCAACTTTTTTTCAAAATTCTCATCAGAAAGTGACTTAAATAAGTTTCTCTGATATTGAATCATATATCTACAAGTATACTGTCGTGGAACCAGCTCAGCTACACGCTGCGAACGATGGATCATATCATAACATTGTTTCTAGTGTTCGTTACATTGTTACAAACGAAACCAATCTTGTGCAATAACGAACCTCTTATTGTTGGGTACTATGAAGAATCGTGTCCGTTTTTGGAAGAGATCGTTCGTCGTCAAGTGGAAATCGCGGTTCTTCAAGAACCTCGAATGGCCGCTTCACTTCTTCGCCTGCATTTCCATGACTGTTTCGTTTTGGTAAATTTCCCTTCATCTTTCTTTTTATAGCATGCAAATGGGGTTTGTAGAATCAAATCGTTATTAGCCCAATGGTATCTGGATTACAGTTGAATACTAGCCTTTCACCTGCAATAAGTAAAATCAGATTTGTTGTACGCGGAAAATGTCTAAATATCATAATGGAATATTTTATAGGAAGAAACAATTATGCGTCATTTGTAAAAAAATTAAATTGCATGAAAAAGTAACGTACTTTAATTAACTTGATTCTTATTTTGGGTAAAGTACTTTCAAAACTTTCATTTTTGTATCTAAGATGTAAATTTTTAAACATTTAAGTACCCGGATAACCGGTTGAAAACTAATTTTAGATTAAAATAAATCAATGTCATTAACCACGTCAACAAATAACATTAAGTTGGATTTTACATCAACATGATAACCGGTTAATGCTTCAACCGGTTACCAAGTACTTAAATGTTTAAAAATTTACATTTTCGGTATCAAAATGGAAGTTTGAAAATACATTACCAAATATAGGAATCAAGTTAAAGTACGTTACTTTTTCATGCAATGTGCCCTTCGTAAAAATGTTACAATAAGTTTATAAAACATTTTTTTTGCTGTCTTAACAAGTTTTTTTAGGACATTTCTTAAATTAATCGTCTGATTAAGTTTTATGACATTATTTAAAAAATTGTCTTATAAAAAAACGTGTCATATGGCACTTTTCAAAAAACGTCCTATACAAAAACTAATACAACACTTTATTTTAAAATGTTCTAAACACGCCCAAACGTGTTGTATAAACTTATTGCAACACTTTTATATGTGACACACAATTGTTCTTGTCGTATAATATTTAAGTTCAATAAAACATTCTATTATGACATTTAAACATTTTTGGCATCCAAAAAAACCCGAAATTCAGTATAGTGAAAGGTTCAAACCGCACCAAAGATGAGAAGTGTGTTACGGTGTTTGTCGTATATAAATATTATTCACTTCAAAAAGCAAAAAAAAAAAAGATCCGCACAACGGAACGACGGTGTTTAACGATGAATCAACACAGGGGTGCGATGGTTCAGTTCTACTTGATGATTTCGAAGGTACAGAAAGCGAAAAGAAAGCCGCACCGAACACGAACTCGTTACGTGGATTTGAAGTCATTGATGAGATCAAGAACGTAGTTGAAGATGCATGTCCTTGTACAGTGTCGTGTGCCGATCTTCTAGCAATTGTTGCTCGTGATGCTGTTGCTCTGGTTTGTACGCTTTTACTTTCTTGTACGGTTTTAAACACGATAAAAAAAGATTTAAACTCATGACCGTTTTTTTTGAACGTTTATTCTTTTTCGTTCTTTACGTTGAAAGACGGGTGGGCCCAAGTGGAATGTGTATTTAGGAAGAAGAGACTCCATGAAAGCAAGCTTGGATGATGCAAATAAGTTCATCCCTACTCCAAATTCTTCTTTAGAAACCCTAATTGCCAATTTTGGATCTCAAGGTCTTAATGCTCAAGATTTGGTTGTTTTATCAGGTACAGATTTCAGTTAATTTTAACAGAATGTCGATCTTTTTATCTGCTAGAATAAAACTGTGGTACTTTTCAGTTAAATAATACAGAATGTCCCACCTTTTTACCTGCTAGATTAAATCTAGCACCGTGGTATTTTCAGTTAAATATTTCTGATAGCAAGATGATTATATTTGACATGAGCTTACATTTATCTCTCTATCCTGAAATTAGGACGATGTTGTAGTGTTATTTTATTTGAACTGGGTTCAAGAGAGAACACTGAAAAAGGAGAACAAGAGAATGCATCTGAACCATCCATCTATTTTAATCCAATGGTTATGAATAGTACGGACGGTTAAATCTTGTCAAAACTAAATTCATGATTGTAAGTAGAGATAATTAAAAATCGGTCCCATGCCGATCTGAAATCTGTCCCTTCAAAATCGGGCTGGTCCGATCAAAAATCTTTGGACCAATTTAGGCCCGAATATCGGTCCGGTCTCATTGGGCCAGTTCGAAATCCGGTCCCAGGCCTGACCCTTTTTAAAAAAAATATTTTTTACTAAAAAATGTTATACATGTTTTCACAATTATAATTTTTGAAATTTAGTATTGAAATGGGCAAATTGTATGAAAAAGTAACGTACTTTAACTTGAATCTTATTTAGGTAACATACTTTCAAAATTTCCATTTAGATACCTTAAACTTCCATTTGGATACCTTAGATGTAAGGTTTTAAACATTTAAGTACACGGGTAACCGGTTGAAGCATTAACCGTTTATCATGTTGATGTGACGAGTGATGTAATATCCACCTCAATATTATTTGCTAACGTGGTTAGTGACATAAATTTTTTTAATTTAAAATTAGTTTTTTTAATCTAAAATTAGTCTTCAACCGGTTACCCGGGTACTTAAATATTTAAAACTTTACATCTTAGGTACCAAAATAAATGTTTTGAAAGTACGTTTCCCAAAATATGAATCAAATTAAAGTACATTTCTTTTTTCATGCAATTTGCCCTATTGAAATACAGTTTAAATATTATATTTAAGTAAATAAAACCTTGAAACATTTAAAAAAAATTCAAATTTTTTTTGAAACACTTGTTATATAATTTATAAAACTTATTTTTTTAAATCGGGCCAATATAACTGGTCATGTAATGTAATCAGTGCCAAGCATGGTCTTGAATTTTCGTAAAGAGTGTAATCGTTTCTGGATCGTTGGGCCCTATCTGGTCCCAATAGGTCTCGGGCCCGACCCAGTTTAACCACCCCTAAACTTATAAGGTGATTACATTTGAATATAGGTCATCTTTTTTATAGATCTAACGATTGATATGAGTTCTCTTGTTCTCCTTTTTTGTAGGGTTTTCTCTTAAACCTTCATCTACTCTATTTATATCTTTTTGTAACTTATGTTGGTCACTAAGGGGGCTTTGGCTTACCGATATCTGGGTTTTTACCGGTAGGTCCCAGTAGCCTCTCAGAAAGTCAAGGGTTCAAGTCTTAGCAAAAGTAAAGAATGTGCGTTAGTTCATTTGTCGTATATAAATACCATATTTTTATAAAAATTGGTTGTCAATAGGTAGCCACACGATTGGAGAGGCAAAATGCACGAGCTTCAAGCAAAGAATCTACGATTACGATGACTCAGAGGAAAGATCATACCCTCGTCAGTGGAAAAACGATGAGTTTCGACGAGTATTAAGATCAATATGCCCAAGATCAGGAAGAGACAACGCGTTGGCCCCACTAGATTTCACGACCCCGGCTAGATTCGACAATCAATACTTTCACAACATTAAACTTGGACAAGGGCTCCTAGTTTCCGACAACGTGTTGGTTGCTGAAGACGTCGAAAGGGAAATACGAGACGTCGTGTGGGCATTTGCCTCAAACGAAGAGCATTTTTTCACCTCGTTTGCAAACTCGATGATCAAGATGGGGAATATACGTGTACTTACAGGACAACAAGGAGAAATTAGGAAGAATTGTAGGTTAATAAACACCTAAAAGATATATAGAAGTTATTAAAACTGTTTATTTTTTCAGTCTGATTTAAAAATCCAAGTGAACTTAAACCTTGTACAGTGTGCAAGCGTATGAAGTTGTTCTAATCTTAAATCAGATAGTTAAAATGATATTGTTATTGATATTATGTTTTATTTGTGTTCGTCTCACTACCATTATGAAGGCCTGCCGAATAAATTTGACAGTTTTAACCCCTTAATAATTACCAACCGTTATTTAAATATGACACCATTCTGGGTAAACTAACGAGAATTTTTTTTAAACTCGGGTCTTACAATTCTTCCCACCCTGTAAAAAGAGATTTCGTTCTCGAAATCGAATTTAGAGATAAGGAACTTACATTGGTTCAAGAATTATGGGTATCTCCCCTGCATATGTTCTTCAGTTTCCCACATCGCCTCACGTTTCAAGTGAAAAATAACTTTTAAAAAGGATCACCCTCTTTCATGTACTTCACTCATCACGATCAAGAATTGACTCAGACTTCTCGCGATAAGACATGTCAAGTTCTGGTCCAGTATGAAATGAACTTATAATCATAGAAGTAACTCGATCATCAGATTATCGATTATGAGTTCATAACCTAAGGCCATTACCATTTTGGACGGAACAAATCTACTAGTTATTTGATTCCAGTTAGTAAGAGAGATCTTAAACTAAGAAATAGACCGTAAAAACTAAAAAAAGGTATCTTGAATAATTGCAATAATCAGATTCGTTGATATTCTTGGCATTTGTTGGTGATCTGTGTGTAAAAGTCGTTCGGCCAAACTTTTATGGACAAAGATATCAGTGATTGACCATCAACGAAGGATCGACGAAAAATATCAATTTAAATAAATAAATATATTTAAAAATTGGTTGAATTGGGCGAGATGGCAGCTAACATTATCTTCATCTCATTGATTTTCTTTTTTGAAAATTCTAAATAATTAAAATATTAAATAATATTGCAAAAAGTCAACTTTATAATATAATTATAATATGAAAACGTCTCAAAAAAGTCCAACGAATTATTAGTGACTAGAAGAATACTCGTGTAATAGAGCGAAATATATCTCGATTTTAGTATTTCGTTTTATTCCGTCTCTATAGATGTTTTAATACAGTTTTATGTGGTTTTGAAGAACAGATAATTTTTTGTTTTTGAATAAAACATAAATTTGAATATATCATAAATTTCGAAAATAAATATATCAATATTAGTATCAAATTAACCATTTAAAAATTCTTTTTTTTTGTGTAATTTTTTTACTTTATTTTTATTTTTGATTTAATAATATAATTTTTTATAAGAATAATGATTAAATATTTTGCTAGAACTCAATAATTATTCTAATTATATTTATATTTAAAATGAAATGTTTATCTTGTATTTGACTATACTTATTTACAATTAGTTACACGAATACAAACATTAAGCTTTAATAAGTTGTACTTATGCACAGTTTTTTTGTAATCTTGAATTTTAAGTAATATACATCAATAAATAGTATTTCATGCATAAATATGATATTTAAGAGTTTTTGTCAAATACTTTATAATATAGTATAAATTAAGTTTTTGAATTTTTTTCAACAATAAATTCTTAACATATGAAAATATGAAAGTTTATTGGGTTTTTCAGTAAGTTCAAAAATTTATTTATCTGATTTCAAAATAATTGGTTTAATTAATTCAAATAAAGAAAATGATGCTCTAATCTATTTGAAATTTCAGTTAAATTTTCCATTCAAAATACGGAAAATGTCCATTCAATTTTTTAATGGAAATGGAGTTTTACGAATTCTTCCCGGAACTGGAAGATCATTTCATTAGAACTTATATTAAAATAAGTAAAATCATTATTTTCATTAAATTTATTATTTTAAACAATTAAAATATTAAAAAAATATTATTAAAAGTCAACTTTATAAGCCGGAAAGTTGACATTTTTTAAATTATGATAATATTAGAATCAAAATTCCAAAGGATAATTGTCGTTTATAAAATGTCTGTAAACTAAATTCAATAATTGAAAATTTATATTAAAAAAACTTTTTTTTGGTTGGTTTGATATTGAGTTCTCAAGGTCAAAAGTGTCTGAAAGTCACAGGTTCAAATCCAAAGAGGAATAAAAATCTTCTTGTGGCCATGGAGATCCAAATGCAGTGACTCCGGGCTACCCGCAAAACATGTGTTCTCTCTGTGATTAGTCGGCTCGTATAGCGGGTTGGATATCCAAGTTAATTAAAAAAATGAAACCAAATAGTGCTTAAAAAATAAGACAACAAACCGAAAAAAGATAAGCAAAAAAATCAAACGAAAGACTATGGTATAATAAGAGACTAAGGTGCCGTTTACCAAACTCTTACTTGAGTAAGTGCTTATCGGCAAGATTTAATACTATCACTTACTTAAGGGGTAAGATTTTAGTCTACCAAAACGGTATCGTATGTAAAAATTTATCCGGTAAGCGCTAACCGTGGTAAGAGTCGTCGTCACTTACCGGGTAAGACTCTAGGTCCTTATCTTCGCCCTTACCGGGTAAGATTCTTAGTTCTTGCCGTATTCATCAGTAAGATAATGTAACTTGATAAGCACTTACCTGGTAAAGTGTTTGGTAAACGGCCCCTAAGCTGACTCTCAGAGCAATCGATAGGCTTGCAACATCAATCTATCCAAGAAATACTACAGATTTTGGCACGATTTGCTAAATAACAACAGGAAAGAAGTTGGATATCGAAAGATAAATCCGTACGATAACCCAAGTCATCATATCACACCGAAGCGACAACTTAAAGTCATCGCATCATAAGGACGTGACAAACATATATCAACTTGATCAAAACCCAGATTTTTCATTCTGTTGATTATGCCACCCTTTTATCCTGGTGTACACCTTCTCTTGTTATGTCACTCTTATCTAAGTATACACCTCTCCCGATTATGTTACCCTTATATCAAAATACACCTCTCTATATTATAACACTTTTATTCCTTAATTTTTATAAACATATCAAAATACCAAAATTATGCTAATTATAGCATCAAAACAGTTTTCAAAAATTTCCCAGATAAGAACCCTACGGTTCCAATTCAACACAATAAGATGAAAGTTATAAAATGAACTCACCTTATAAATCACAAGAGATGGAGATTGAAACAATAACAAGTAGACAGATTAAATCACAGAATCCAGCCTTACAAAATAACGTGACATAACATGCAATCACGCATTATAACACAAGCCAAGCCTAAGAGTTGAACCACAACGGTTAACGTAACGGCAAAGCCAAATCTCTGCACAGTAACGGGTTATTTAACCATAATAAAAACATAATGATAAAACATTTCTCTCTCATTTTTGAAGTGGCTTTTAGAGATGGTCTGAATCATTCAGATAAATGTGGCTGTAAAATTAATGGATTGAAGTTAAAACTGTTAATAGAATAACTGAAAAAGAACAACGATAAAATAGAGAGAAGCAATATATAATTCTCATTAATCATAATCCCTTTTTATAATGATGAGTTACAAGTAAATAACTACAAGATATTTCATTTCTAATCTAACTCTGATATATCCATCTCTATCTATTAGGGATGAGCAGCGGAACCGGGTACCCACTTGTAGAACCGGAACTGCCGGTTCCAGAATCGAAACCGATATGAGTGGTTCTGATTCCTAAAATATACGAAACCAATTGAGAATGGTTCCGGTTCCGGTTCTCAATTTTTCGGAACCGTTAACCGCTGGGTACCCGCCGGGACCGGGTACCCGGAATCCTGAACCGGAATCGGCGGGTACCCAATATTTTTCAGTTACAAAATAATAATTATTTTTTTAATACTAAATTTAAATTAGGCCAAGAACTTATAACTCTAGATTCATAATTTGAGATAAAATGATTCGTATTTTTTCAAATTGTGTGTTTAATTGGATTCGTAGTACGTAATCGTTAGACTTTCAACCTTTACAATTATAATATGTAATCGTTAAACTTTCAACATTTAGTATTAGTCTATTATGGTTTGTAATCGTTAAACAATATGTGTAACCATTATTCCGTATAATTTGTATTCTTGTTTATTTATTTAGTGTTTTCTCAATATTTTATTTTTTAGTTCTAAATAACAAAATTTTAATATTTTAGGAAGCGAATGTTCCGGTTCCGGTTCCAAAAATTCAAGAACCACTCTAACCGGTTCCGGTTCCGGTTCCAATATCTCAAGAACAACCAGTTCCGATTCCGGTCTCGGTTTCTGTCAAATAGGACGGGTACCCGCCTATGCTCACCCCTACTATCTATTTCGTCATATCATTTTAGACGATAACCCATTTATCCTACAACAATAACATCGTTGTCTTAATCAATTTTCCTTGAAGATTATGATGCCACGTTAGATTTTAAGCTGCTTTTCTTGAACGTAGTACTTGTCTGATTCTATAAAAGTGTATCGATAGAACAAGCATGAGTAGGTTAACAACCCTTGGCCGGCGCTGAATCAGTTGCTGAATGAGTCAGAAAGTGATTACATTACAAAAGTGGTGAAACAAAACGAATCGTTGAAAGTTAGGGCAAAGGAGATGGGACAGAATACCGATGAGATAAGCAACAGATCCGAGTACGGTGGTTCGATTCCTGTCGATAACGTTCAAGCGCTTGCTTCAAAGGACTTGAAAGACGTTCCGGTTCGGTATCTTCGGCCGGAGATTGTGTCCGACGAGGTATTGACGGATGAATCGCTGCAGATTCCAGTGATCGACATCGGCAAACTTTCTGTCGCAGGACAACCGGGTTATGATGATGAATTGGCTAAACTTCATCTTGCTTGTAAAGATTGGGGCTTTTTCCAGGTAATTTATATATATATATATATATATATATATGTGTGTGTGTGTATATCTGTATATGTATAACTATATGTATATAGAGGAAGGATCATGCGAGAAGTTGCATACGTACATTTTGGATGATTTTAATCATATATGATATTGGAACTTTTCGTTGGTTTTCTATCTCTATATAAACATATATAGAGAGAGATGGAGATTGAAACGAAAACGGTAACTAAATAAGAGAACATGAAAACGGACAAAGCGTGTGCAGATCACAAGTGATTTTACACTAACGGTCTACACAAGGGTGTCTAGCGACGCGGCAAATCACATTTGATTTTACACGCGATTTTAGTATAAAATCACATGTGATTCTACTGTTTTCTTATTTTTTTTATTTAATTACAGTTCTCGTATGAACTTGACACACCCTCTCTCTATATATATAGAGAGAGAGAGAGAGGAGCGATCAAATGAAAACCACCATCATTTGTAAAAACTGTACAAACCACCCTCATACGTCGATTTCATTGTTTAATCTTACGAAATTTTTTCATGAAATTGTTTAACCTTGTGAAATTGTTTCATATAATAGTTTTTTTGATGAATTTGTTTCATATATGGTTATGAAATTGTTTCATATAATACTTTTTTTGATGAATTTGTTTCATATATGGTTATGAAATTGTTTCATATAATATTTAATGAAATTTTAATGAAACTGTTTCATTATTTTTCTAAAATTAAAATAATGAAGATGATAATATCCATGATTAACACCCTCCACAATAAAAATGGTTAATCAACCTCTCATAATTACAAAAAAATGAACAAAATGAAAAATTATGATTAATTGAATGAAGTTTTCACGGTTTTTACAAATTGACTGGTTTTTATTTGAACGCTCCCCTATATATATATATATATATATATATATATATACATACATACACCCCCCCTCTCTCTTTCTCTCTCTCTCTATATATATATATATATACATACATACACCCCCCCCTCTCTCTTTCTCTCTATATATATACATACACACACACACACAAGGACATGATTCATTAGGAACCTCATTTTCATTTTCATTGTGACAAGTTGAAACAAGCCGAGTCGAATTGAGTAGCATAGGCTATTCGAGTTGAGCTCGAAAAAAATTATCACGCTCGAGCTCAAACAACTTTTTAATATAGAGCTCAAGCTCGATGCTCGTTTATGGGCTCGAACTCACATCGATTAACTCGTTAACATGCTCAAGGTTGATACTTTTTATATTTCATTGTATGATTTATCAACATATGAGCATGCTTGGCTCAAATAAATGTTTGGTCAAATGGCTCGACTTGACTCAAAAACTTTAATCGAGTTTTCGAACGAGCCGAGTCGAACGTTGGTGTTATGAAACTCGGCTCTTAATTTAAACGAATTCCATTTTGTGTTCAAGATCGACTCAAGCTCGAGAATTATTAAACTCGAGCTCGAATAACTCGTTAAAAGCTCGACTTGCTTACACTCCTAACCTCATATGGCATTATTCATCATGAATAAAGGCTTGTTATTCATTATGAATATGTGATTAATGATGAATGAATATTACAGTTGATAAATCATGGGGTATCAGAAAGCATAGATGCAATGAAGGTGGTTACAAAGGAATTCTTCAAGTTGGGATTAGAAGAGAAGATGAAATGTGCACAAACTCCAACCACCATTGAAGGTTATGGTCAAGCATTTGTTGTTTCAGAAGACCAAAAACTTGATTGGGGTGACATGCTCTTCATCCTACCTTTACCCATCCCTCAAAGGAACTTGAGATTTTGGCCTCTAAATCCCCCTTCATTCAGGTAATTCCTGAGCTGTAAACGAATCGAACGAACGTAAACGAAGGTTTCTAACAAGTTTATAAGACGTTTTTAGGCGTTTTAACAAGTTTTTAAGACGTTTTTTTAGAATAAAGTGTCGTATTAGTTATTTTATATGACACTTTTGAAAAGTGTCACTTAAACCCATCTTTTTATAGGATTATTTGTGTTTATAGGACACTTTTCCAAATAGTGTCGTATAAAATAGCTAATACAACACTTTATTTTAAAAGCGTTTTAAAAAACTTGCTATAAACGCCTACAAACATTCTATATGCTTATTGTAACACTTTTAGATATGATGTTTTCTTGGCTTAGTCTTATAAACATAAGTCGTATAAAGTCTTTTATAAAGAAACTTGAGATTTTCCAAAATGATGTCGTTTTGATTTTATGTCGATCAGGGCAACCTTAGATGAATACTCGAACAAGCTATATGGCGTTTCGAAGGAACTGTTTAAGTTGATGTCTATAAACCTGGGAATCGATCTTGAAACGGTTAGCAAATTGTACGAGAATTGCACACAAGGTATCAGAATGAACTACTATCCACCCTGTCTCGAAGCAGACAAGGTTTTAGGGTTGGCACCGCACTCAGATGCAGTCGGGTTAACCCTCTTGGTTCAAGTCAATGAAGTTCAAGGGCTACAAATTAAGAAGAACTCGAAATGGGTGCCGATTAAGCCCATTCGCGGGTCGATTATCGTTAACATAGGTGACGTTATGGAGGTAATCAGTTATTTTATCTATCACAATAATAAATGTCTGCATTTCTATTTTAGAGCATCTCTAACCGGATTCTTCAAAAAAATCTCACAAATGGAAAATCAGAATTCGAAATCTCATAAATATTTGATAAATAAATAAGTGATCCTAGCATTTCATACGGTAAAGATCGAATTTGAGTGGTTAATAATTGCGGCTTTAGCTCGTCAAAAATTGCGCCTATGTGAAAAATAAAGGGGGTAGTTTTGTAACTTTGACAAATAGGCAAACGTGTTCATGCGTGAACCTATGTGATTCACACATGAACTATATGTTAATATGTGAACCTGTGTAATTCACATATGAACTATTTTAACTAATTCACATATGGACTAATTAATTGATTCACATAGATAATGAGTAACGGGGAGTACCGCAGTATCGAGCATAGGGCTCTGGTTCACTTGGAAAAGGAGCGGCTTTCGATTGCAGCTTTTCATAGTCCGGGCATCGACACCATGATCGGACCGTTGACAGACGGAGTTAATGAGAAGACAGCAAAGTATAAGACGATTAATACAGAAGATTATACGAAGTTGATCATTAGCAGCAAACTTGATGGAAAAAGTCTGATTGAGCAAATGAAGATTCAATAATGATGCGGTAAGCGCTCTTGCTCGTGAACATTACGATCATATCAGTCTGATCCTGTTCGATTGTGTCCATGTATTATATGCAACTTTTCAGTTCATATAATTCGTGTTATCTTTTATTTGTGTTTATTTACTGAATGTAATCAAGTTTTATTGTGAATTGGTGGGACGGACTCAATGTGTTAACTCGTATGGTCGGGTTGACTCGTGATATTATTATTATTATTATTTTTTTTAATTTTATTGATAAATAATGTATTAATTCGAGATTATGAAAACCCATCTTTGTAAATAGGATAGTTGACACTAGGGTTGTTCATCGGTTGACATCCATTGGATGTGAGGGGAACCGAACTGATCCAAGCATCCATTGGATGATTGGATAGGTTCGGTTCCATCAATTGGATACTTTTATTTTGGTAAACCTGAAGAGAAAATGGTTAGGAGGGGAAACCAACTCTGAAAAATGACTATTTTAATAAATTTCTTGATATATAAATCAGACCGAATAAATCTCACTTGAAGGCCGATGGTAAGGTATTTGGGGAGGACATTACAACAAAATTGATTTTATAGGACGCCTAAAATATAGAAACGTCTTGAAAAAAAATATTTTATAGGACTTAAATTTATAAAACCAAACCTAAAAGTATCTTATGCTAAAAATGTTACAATGGGTTTATAGAACGCTTTTAGACGTTTTAACAAGTTTTTATGACACTTTTAAAATCAAGTGTTGTATCAACTATTTTATACGACACTATTTGAAAATGTGTCCTATAAAAAGATGAGTTTATATGACATTTCTCATAAAATAGCTAATATGACATTTATTTTAAAAACGTTATAAAATACTTGTTAAAATGCCTAAAATCGTTATATAAACCTATTGTAATGTTTTTAGATAGGACGTTTTACATTTTAGCCTATTATAAACCTAAGTTCTATAAAGTATTTTATTAGAACACTTAGAGATCTAGATGTCCTAAAACCAATTTTGTTTGTCGTGGAAGGGGTGTTAGTTGTACAAACAGGGCTGGCCCTGGCCATGTGCAGCCCATGCGGCCGCACAGGGTATCAAAGCCTAAAGGGGCATCAAATTGTCATTTATTACTAGTTTTGAGTTTAATAATTTGAGAATTGGACAACTGAACTTTAACTATAAAATCAGGCCCAATGCCTAGTAGTGATGAATACTCAATGCACATCGTTGGAAAAAGTTAGAAATTTTTTTGTTTGTATAAAGTTTTTTGTATGAATAAAGTTGTCTGTATGAATTAATCTATTTGTATAAGTTGGAAAAGTTTTTGTTTGGAGAGTTTTTTCGCAAATGTAAGAAACGTTTTTTTAGTTGGAAGAGACATGTTTGGAAAAAAAAATTGGTTTTCTATAAAGCTCCACCTAGAAGCTTACTTACTGGATAAATCACTTTCTATATCATTAAGCCACTACGAAACAGTAATGCATAGTTGAGTGAATACGCTGTTAGTTCCATTAAACTTATTAAGCTGCTAACAGATAAGCGCTTAGTCTTTAGTCGTAGACCTGTAACTGTTAAGTTTTACTTTTTGTTTAATATGCAACAATTTGGATGTAATTTACTATTTTAATTAAAAACTAATTATAGTTTTCCTTGTCTTTTAAGTTCCATATATTAATACAGGATTTATCATTTTATATTTTGTATTTGGGATTTTGGTTTTTATGTCCCATCCATTGTATTTTTCTAATTATAATTAATAAAAATCAACATCGGGATGAGAAACTTAGCTTGAATAGGTTCTAAACTATTTAAAAAATCGCATGTTTCGTTGTTTCGTTGGCTTAAAAAATAGGCTTAGGGGCATTTTTTATTATTTTCGCACAGGTCATCAAAAATCTTAGGACCGCCCCTGTGTACAAAGACATAACCTCTGTCAGACGATACTGAAATATTGTTTCTGAAAAGACTCCCGACTTGCATAAAATAAACATTTCCAGAAATTAACGAGAGCGATAAAAGAAAGTAAAACGCCAAACAAGATAAAAACTAGAGCTCGTTCGACATCATTCTTGAATTTTCATCCGCTCGATTAGGCTTTTTCCGTCAAGTTTGCTGCTAATGATCAATCTCAGATAATCTTCTCCATCAATCGTCTTATACTTTGTCGTCTTCTCCTTAACTAACTCCGGCAACGGTCCTATCTTGACTTCGAGGCCAGGACCGTGAAAAGCCGCGATCGAAAGCCGCTCCTTTTCCAAGTTAACCATAACCCTATGCTCGATACTACGATATTCTCCATTGCTCATTATCTGTGTTTTAGTTCAAATATGTAAACCAAACCAAAAGATGAAGGATCATGTGAGAATAGGAGTTAAGGTGAGAAGTGTAAAGAGTGATTTGGACCATTGATCACTTTTAAATCTCAAATCAACCCATGAAGTATTCTCATCAGTGTTGATATAGTAGAACTCTTCAATAATGATTGATCAAGGGTGGAGATCCATTCTTACCCTTGTCACTATAACTCTCATCCTCACTGGAACCCAACCTTTCAAACCAAACCAATAAAATTATAAACCAATCCATGCCAAATGAATGGAGTAATTTCTAAACATAGTAGAGTATGGGGATGGTATAATATATGCATACGTTATCGGAGAAACTGTTTCCGTAAAGAACCCTAACTTGTAAAAAAAATGAAAGAAGTTTTTCTTATAATTTTGGTTACAGAAGTTTGAAAGAAAACAAAAGGAGTTTGGAAAACGATATGTTTTCTACGCAGACATGACATGACAGGACATGACAAAACAAGACGAAAAAGAGAGACGGGATAAGTGGATGAAAAATATGTGGAAGGTTCCAGGATATTAAGTTATATCATAGATAGTTTAGTAATTTACCATTTTTGTCTTCGATTCATGTGAAGTTCCAATCTATTATGGCACCAAACGCGTGACAAGTTTTTATTCTGTCATGTCTTATCATGCGTACCAAACACATACAATCCAAACCATTGAAGAAGTTAAACCCTTCTGACTTATAATAAGTTGATAAATGATTTTGTAGAAAAGTATAAGTTGTTTTTATAAGCAATCCCAAACACCCCATCATGGGATTAAACAAAACTAGATGATGCTCGATTTGGTTCCAATTTAGCTTTTTCTTTGATAGACAACACCGAAAGCAGATGATTCCGTTCTCAGTCTCGATCAAACCAAGACCAAGTCAAATTGTTCGGACCATGCTATGTAGTTACTAAATCAATTACCTCCATAATGTCACCTATGTTGACGATAATCGATCCAGGAATGGGCTTAATTGGCACCCATTTCGAGTTGTTCTTGATTTGTAGCCCTTGAACTCCATTAACTTGAACCAAAAGGGTTATCCCGGTTGCATCTGAGTGCGGTGCCAACCCTAAAACCTTGTCTGCTACACGACATGGTGGATAGTAGTTCATTCTGATACTTTGTACGCAATTCTCATACAATTTGTTAATTGCATCGGGTTCCATTCCTAGGTTTATAGACATGAACTTCAAAAGTTCCTTCGAAACGCCATTAAGCTCGTTCGAGTATTCATGGAAGGTTGTCCTAATCAACATAAATCCAAATGAGACCGTTTTTAGGGTACAACTCATAGAAGTTAACCAATCAAACTACATTTGATCATTATAGAAACGGAAACAGGGCGGACCCACTTCAATAGATACAGTGGCAAGGGCCACCGCTTCGTTAGTGTAAAAATTATAGGGTCGTGAAAAGTGTCACCGTATCAATTTGTTGTGTTACCGCATCACTTGATAGATTTGGTTTTTAAGATTCTTTTTTCACCCCCAGACCCGAGTTGAAATCCAATTAGTGTCCTTTTTTCTTAGTTCTTAGCTTTAGGGGGTGTTTGGGATTGTTTATTTAAAGTGCTTATTAACTTATTCCAATGTGGTACCGGTAATAACGAGGTTTTAGTTTTGGATGGAAAAAAAAACGAAATACTTATATCGATTTGGCACCGGTAATAATAAGAAGTTTTTGATAAGTTCTACATTTCTAACTTATTAACTTATTCTGACGTGACACCGGTAATAAGAAGTTTTTAATGTTTGGATGGGAAAAAAAAGAAATATTTATCAGCTTATTAATTACGACTTGGTACCACCATAAGCTAATCCAAACATTTTTTTATAAAACTCAGGTTTAACACCAAATCAATGGATAAACACTTTTACAAAAAACGGAAGTTATTTTAAATAAACAATCCCAAACATCAGATTTATTATGTTTAAAAAAGAAACTACGATAAAATACTTCAACATTGGACCTCACTTGTAAAAAGCGATGGAATAACCAAATAATCAATGAGATTTTGTATAAGATATCCATATACTTAATTCTTGTACTCAAATGATACAAACACTTGCACAAAATTTGTAGGTCCGTTTCTGCTCGTAGAAGTGCATGAATCGAACTAAATTCGATCATTTTAGAACCGGAAAATATGACATTACCTGAATGAAGTCGGATTTTGAGGCCAAAATCTCGTGTTTCTTTGATCGACGGGCAAGGGCACGAGAAAGAGCATGTCACCCCAATCGAGTTTTTGATCCTCAGAAACAACAAATGCTTGACCATAACCTTCAAGCATACCTGGAATCTGTGCATATTTCATCTTCTCCTCTAACGGCAGCTTGAAGAACTTCTCTATAACCTTCTTCATTGCATCTATGCGTTCTAATACTCCATGATTTATCAACTGTTTTATTTTTCAAATTCTCAAATCAGTAATTGAATTCATATATAATACACAGATGACAGATATCGATTCGTCTGGTATCATATACAGTACAAATTACCTGGAAAAATCCCCAATCTCTACAAGCAACATGCAGTTTAGCCAATTCATCATCATAACCAGGTTTTCCGGCGACCGAAAGTTTGCTGAAGTCGATCACTGGAACTTGCAGAGATTCGTCCGTTAAAACCTCCTCGGACTGGATTTCCGGTCTAACATACCGAATCGGAATGTCTTTCATTTCCTCAGAAGCAAGCGCTTGAACATTAGCAACAGGAATGGAACCACCGTAACCGGATCTGTTGATTATCTCGCCGGTATTCTCTCCGATATCCATCGCCATAACCGACTGAGCTTTTGCTGTCTGATTGTTTACAGAGATTCAAAACAATCCAGAAAAGCCTGGACGAAGTCCAAATTTCCCGTCCAAACCTTTTATAGTAACTTTTTAGTTTTTAAAATTATGTAAGGATGACGTGTGTAGCTAAATATTTTACAACCAAAGCCTCGTCACATAATTTACTGGAATACATCTTGATTTTAATATTTTATTTTTTTTATTTTGATGGATGTTATAATATGATTTTATATGATTTTGAGAAGAAGAAAAAAAGGCTTTTATTTCGAAATGAAATATAAATATGAAAATATCATAAATTTTTTAATATATATATTAATATTAGTATCAAACTAACTATTTAAAAATTTTCCTCTTTTGTAATTTCTTTAATTTATTTTTTTTATTATAATTTAATTTAGGATTAATAAGA